CATAAGCCTGTCTTACGTCAAGCTATAACAAATCAATTGTTCCGAAGTTCGCGATACAGTTACTCTACGAAGCTATACATACAGCTTCTCTTTTTTCGCGACAATCGTACAACTGGTTAAGGAGCGTGCACAGCCTACTAGGTAGCTTGGACAACCTCGCCATCGAGTGGCCTACCTTTGTACTAAGTGCAATGGGAAAAGCTGGAGCTCTTGAGCTCGAACCAGAACCAACTTGCTTGCACAGCTTCCTTCATCGATAGAAGCGGTGCGCAATACGTAAGTCTCTCTATGTATTTCTTACCTTTCACGCAATAGCACACAGCACCTTTCTTTGTCCGATTCCGTTCTATCCTGTACAAAGTTATCTCATCCGTTTCCTTCGAGCCTGTCACATCTCAACCCCAAAAACACTCTTCATACATACGTACCAATGCCACCCGACGCTATCATCTTTATCTGCGCCAATGGATGCTAACGTGATGTTTGTTGTTTAGCTACTCGCTAAGTCTTGGGTGCATGACTGCAACCCTTCGACGCCGCCAGACATGGCTAAAACATTCCGACTAGGAGCACGTCTCCGTTACCCTATTACCATATCTCAATTCCTCAAGAACGTGGGCGAAGATGTTGTCAAGCAACAGCCGGTTCTCCGCTACACCTACAAATACAAGCGCAAGATTGGCGACCCGAGTCTCAACGAGGAGCAGGAGATTGAAGAGACGGGTGTCGCAGAATGGGATTGTCCTTCCGAGGGCAAGCTGAAGGACTGGAAGGTCAAGATAGGAGAGGAAATCAAGAGAGACCAAGACCTGATCTCCATCGAGGAGACATGTGGCCACGAGATACAGTTCGCAGGGTTATGCGGCATCTGTGGCAAAGACATGAAGGAGGTGAGCTACGTTACTGAGTCTCTCGACACGGAACGCGCCTCTGTCGCCATGGTACACGATAACCTCGCTCTCACTGTCAGTACAGATCAGGCTGCACGCGCCGAGATGCAGTTGCAGCGTCGTCTACTCAAGAACCGAAAGCTCAGTCTTGTTGTCGACCTTGATCAAACCATTATCCACGCTTGCATTGACCCTACCGTAGGCGAATGGCAACGCGATCCCTCGAACCCCAACTACGAAGCTGTTAAAGATGTGTGCAGCTTCCAACTGGACGATGGTCCGCGAGACGCTCCACGAGGCACGGCCAGTGGCTGTTGGTATTATATCAAGATGCGCCCGGGTCTAGCCGAGTTCCTCGAGAGGATCCATCAGATGTTCGAGTTGCACGTTTACACCATGGGCACGCGCGCCTATGCTCTTAATATCGCCAAGATTGTTGATCCTACACAGAAGCTATTTGGCAACAGGATCATTAGTCGCGACGAAAACGAGAGCATAGTAGCCAAGAGTCTACAACGATTGTTCCCCGTGAGCACAAACATGGTAGTGGTTATTGACGATCGAGCCGACGTATGGCCTCGAAACAGGTCAAACTTGATTAAGGTCACCCCCTACGATTTCTTCACGGGTATCGGAGATATCAACTCGAGCTTCTTACCCAAACGCGACGACACCCTAGCACCTACAACCCCCCCTGAGCCGAAGCAGCCTAACGGCAATGCTACCCGACTTAATGGTAGTAGCGCCGCGGCACCGAACCCTGAAGCGCAACAAGAGAGAACAGCCCCAAGCAGCGACGAGATTGCCCTGCTGCAATTACAGGCAGCGGAGCAGGAGCGAACACTCGAGAAGCAGCTTAAGGATCGTCCCTTGCTTCATTTGCAGGAGGAGTTAGATAAAGAGGACGAAGAAGCCGAGAGGCAGTCGGCGGAGAAGGATGACAGCCCAGAACCGTCTACTAACGGAAGCGGAACCTCGGAGACACCTTCGCACCAACGACACAAGCTTCTACGAGATGATGACCGAGAACTACTCTACCTCGAGCAGCATCTTACTAATGTGCACCACAAGTTCTACGAACAGTACGAGGCGCGAATCGAGAGCCGTCAGGGTAACGATATCGTGTCTGACGTCATCCCAGACGTAGGGCGCACACTGAACTTCCTAAAGGCCCAGGTGCTAAGCGGTACCAAGATCGTATTGTCGGGTCTCGTCCCGCTCAACGTCGACGTGCGCAAAGTGGAGGTGGGCATGCAGGCCGAGGCGTTCGGAGCTGAGATATGCGCACGTGTGAGCAGCGACATCACGCATCTGGTGATCAGCAGCTCGCGCCCGCGAACTCAGAAGGTGCGACAGGCAGCGCGCATGCCTCACATCAAGATCGTCAACCAGAATTGGCTGTTCGACTCCATCGTGCAGTGGCAGAAGGTAGACGAGACGCCGTACCTCATCGAGGTTCACCCGGCGGATAGGACAGCGGAGACGCCCTTAGGAGAAGGTGGGAACTCTCCGCCTAGGCCTAGAATTACTATTGTTAATTCAGGACGCCAGTTCTTCGAGGACGAAGATGACGAGGGCGATGATGGTGACGGAGAGCACTCCGGGGACGAAGAGGAGTACGACGACGAAGACGAGGACGATGGATGGGACGTGATGGCCGGTCTCCAAAACGGCGAACACAGTCCTATCGAAGAGCTCGAAGGCATGGAGTGGGGCGACGTCGATAAGGAGCTCGAGGAGTTCATAGGAGACGACGACTCGGACTTTGAGAGCACCCAAGGCACCGACGTTGGCGGGGGCACGGACACGGAGTCGGAAGGCCCCAGCAAGAGCCGAAAGCGCAAGCTCGGAGACGACGACGAGGCTGCGGGTAGTGCCCTAGCCAAGAAACAACGGATCGCCAAGGCCAGAACCACGGGTCTGAGAAACGTTAGGAACGCGACAGACGAGGAGGAGGAGGAGCCGGCTGGCAGCCAGGGGAAGGAGGGGAGCGGACTACCAACTCCGGTCAATACGAATGACGAGGAAGACGGTGGTCGCGATGCCGACCATTCGAATCCCAAGTTAGCCGTCGGTGACGATGGAGCGGCGGACGACGACGACGACGAAGAGGGAGACGACGACGAGTTCGACGCGTTGGAGGCGGAGCTCGAGGCGGAGTTGCTCCAGGACGAGGGCGAGAAGGGCTGATCGATTCATCGACTAACCTTTGGAACCTGGACGTTTGAAGAGGGGGGGGTAAGAGAAGATGAGAAAAGAGGAGAGAAGATGAGAGGAAAGGATTATGGAAAGAATGGAGGGAAGCATGTGTTGATGGGCTTCTGTTCCGACTGTTTGGACTGTACTACGAATGGATGAATGCATGAGAGAGCCGGTAAAGGCGAAAAAAAACTAAGGCATTTGGACGGTCTGGCACGTTGGTTGCACATTGCACATTACAGATCCATTCTTCTTCATTTTCTCAGATAATCGGGTTTGATCGCCGTTTATACAGAACATTGAGTTGAGGAGTTTTTTTTGTTCGGTTTTTTCTTCGTCGTTGGCATTTAAAGCTGGCAAGACTGGTGTGTTTACTGGGTGGGGAGTCAGGGGTAAAGGGGTAGGTACATAAGGAGGCTCTATTTTATCGAGGTGTCCTAGGTCTTTTTCGGTTCGGCTGCATAGCGATTAGGGCACTTTCAGAGCATAGTAAAGAAATCTTGTCTCTATTTAGTACGAGATGTTTTGTGAATATTTTCAGTAAGTCGTTCTTGGTCTGCAACTTCAACATTATCAGTTGTCTTGCCAGTGTAAGTACCTAGTGTAAGTCACTGATGGGGGATGCACGTGATTTGATTACATACCTACATGTAGCCCCCACCATTACCGTTACCAGTACCATGCTTGTCCCCGTATTAACTTACGTCAGCATCGATCCAATAAAGGAAAAGGCCTCGAATGGAAGCTCGACCCCATCGTCAAATCAATTATCGTCAATTGGTAAACAACCACCAGCGAAACAAACCTGCGAAATAAAACCAAATTCCCAATTGATCCCTACCAAACGAAAAGAGGCGAACAGGCGAATAGATAGTCAAGACAAGATGCCGCAGGATATGCCCCCCGTCGGGGGCTACGGCCCTGTGCAGTACAAGGTTAGTGGACGAGCATTGCGTTTTCCCCGGACCACGACCTCGAGGACTAGGATCTGTGAACGAGAGAAAGAGCGAGAATGACAAATATTTGGGAAGTTGGATTGGAATTGGAGCGATGGGGTATTCCTCGAGCGAAAGAGGTGGATTGGGAATTATGAATATTGGGTTGTGATGGTGCGAAGAGAAGGACGATTTGCAAGAGGAATCACCAAGAGGCGATATAGCAGTCTTGTACACTTTCAAACATCGGAAGGCTAACAACGTGTCTATTCCCGCAGCGCAACCTCCCCGCCCCGGGCTTCCGTCCCACCACGCTGCTCCTCGGCATGGGCGCCGTCATGGTCTTCGGATTCTGGAAGCTGGGCCAGGGCATCCGAGAGCAAAAGTACGTTTTTTATCCTCTCCTTCGATTACGATACGATACGATACGACACGTGAATACTAACCATTGTTTCCCCGGCCCACAGCGAGCTCGCCCGCGAAAAGATGTGGTCCCGCATCCACCTGATCCCCCTGCTGCAGGCCGAAGAGGACCGCGACCTCGTCCGACGACATCTCGCCGACCAGGCCAGAGAGAAGGAGCTCCTGGGCGAGAACGTCAAGGTGTACAACTCGGACCGGTATGTTTCTCTTTCCTCTTTCCCCCTTTTATGTTCCTCTGAGACGTGCCGGGAGTATATGTGCTAATGCTGGCACGATGGTAGATACGTGAGACCGACTTTCGCTATCACGCCCGGCAAGGTGACGAAATAAGTGACGAAGACGAAGAAATGAGACTAGCTGGCTGCGAGTGGAAGAGCTCCCCGGAGTCGGCTACGGTTGGCGTAGAGATGTACATATACCAACACCAGCAGAGAAGCAATCAAGATCGATCAACTAATGACCGCCTATCCACCCATTATGAGAACGTATAATTTTAAATAAGAAAACCCCTAGGAATACTTTCACAACGCTGATGGACGACTTACTAGACAAGGGCCCGGTAGTGCAATGGCAGCATGTCTCATCACCACACACTTCCAAGCAAACGATGGAAACCCAAACTTGGAATGTCGTGGTGGGAAAGATGTGGGTTCAAATCCCATCCGGGCCATTGCTTTTTCCCCCCTTTCCTTTTGAGACTTGTCGGTTCGAGTTCAAGCCATCTCAGCACATTAGCGTCTATGGTACCTAAAACAACATTCTATCTCTCTAGGACTGGTCGGGAGCTTGTGTAAAGTAAGTACCTAGTTTGCAGAGAGGCTGCCATAGAGAACTGTGCTGTATTGCGTTGTCCCTTTTTCATTCGTCGGTGGTCGTCTTCCTACAATCTACACGTATGGAAATAAAGAAGCTAGCATCCAATTCCACGGAAGAGAAAATGAAAAGGGATTTTTCTATTAAAGAGAGTAATCATGAAGTTATGTGGTTTCGTCCGCGTACCTAGCTATTAGGGTGTCATCCATCGTCGTGCCCTTCCCCTTACTTGTCTCGTCTATTTTTCTCCCTTTCCTGTCCTAACTGCTTAGATAGTATATATTTACCCTCGCTATATCTTATAATTCATTTGAGAACCTCAGGAACTTCCGGACGGCACCGGCAGTTCATATACGTGGCGTGGTTTATTGTCATTCACAAACTAGACCATGTCTCTAGATATACCACGTAGATATTGCAGTAAAACACCAATGAAATAACACATCTTAAAGAAAAAGAAAACGCTAGCCTGGATGGGAGTTGAACCCACCCCTTTCCACCCTTCATTACGAAGCATAGTTTGTTTCTATTTGCTTAGAAAGTAATGGATTGTGCTACCCCTGCACCACCAGGCCCTCGTGTAGTGGGTAGAACTCGAAGATTTGCTGAATGAAAGGGTATTAAAACTTATAAGACCATATACCTGCTCCGATAGTAGATGGATGATGCCATAGTTGTATGATGAGACTTGGATAGGAGATATACCTTGACTGTTCGAAGTTAACTAGAACGATTACACGGTAGTAGGCAGTGTTGTAGCCATGAATGGGATCTCTTTATGATAGGGAGCTGGCACTATTACCATTGCGAACTTACTGGTAAACAGCCAGGAACAGTGCTATCTGTCTCTCGATCTCTCCTCATCGACATCTTGATTGACTCACCACACCAAAGCATTTCAACAACTAACATGAGCAGCACAACCCCACAGCCGATCAAACCTGACCGAGATATTGGATATGTTTGAAGAAGTACATAGTATAACACGTAGCGAAGAGCCTCGGCTCCCCATTTCGGGATTTCCGTACTTAACAGTCATTGAAACTCGATTCAAACAAGCAAGTTTCACAAGGACACGAATACACCCGTACTCCCATCCCTTGGCTTCGATAGGCCAGGCCGCCAACGCCTGACTCCGTCCCTTCCGCCTTCATCCAGACATCGTCATTCATGACCCCTTGACATTATTGTAATTACCAAATGCCCAAACCCTAACACCCCGCTCGTTCATACTCGTTATCTTCTGCGTGAGCGAGTCTAAGCAGCGGCCTGTATGGCCTGCTTGAACCCCTCGCTCACCACCTTGGTGATGTCCTCGTTCTTATGCTGCAGCAGTCCCAGCGCGAACGCCACGTCGCTCCACTGGCGCTCCGTCTCGCAGCGCTGCAGACGCGCCGCCAGTTTCTCCGCCAGTTGCTTGGCGTGTTTGTCCTGTATTTCAACCACACTCGTTAGCCATGTGTCATTCAAGTTATTACGAAGAGCAGCGATGGTGTATGGTTGTGTATTATCAGAGAAAAAGTTTGACGTCACGAGGATTGTCAGAAATTAAAACATATAAGCATCATGTAGACACAATGGAGAGGTAGAAAAGAAAAAAAAAGAAGAAAACGTACCTTCTCGACGAACCCGAGCAAGAACTTCACGATGCGCTTGAAACTCTCCTCGTCCATGTTACCCGCGGACAGCAAACTAAACATGTCCACGAAGTGGTTGTACACGGCGTTGTCCTTGGTGCTGAGCTCCGAGAAGAACATGCGCGCCAGGTCCGCGATTCGCTTGTCCTCGTCCTCGAGACACTTGGCCATCTCACCCAGCTGCCCCTTCACCTTGACCTGTCCGGCCAAGATGAGGAAGGTCAGCGTCATGAGACACGTGCGCTTGACAGATAGATCACGGTCGGCTAGACGGCGGTACAGGAAGTCTGTGTTTTCATCGATCAGATGGTTGAAGCAGACTGCCATATCGCCCAGCGCGATGACGACGTTCGAGCGCACCGTTGCGTCGGGAGAGCGCTCCATTATGGTGATTAGGAGAGGTAGGTGACGCTCGCAGTACTCGCTGCTGACGCACATGAGCTTCGCCAGACACAGAGTGGCCGCGGCTTGGAGGCCCTTGTCTCTGTATACGTCACTTCTGGCACAAATCTCCGCCGCCATAGGACCGAAATTCGCCAACAAAGACTGCGGCCCAAACAGCAATTCCTGCTCGCGGATATGCGCCATAGCCTCGGTGAAGTCGTCTTCTGTGGTACCCCCGATCAGATCCAACTCGTCACCCTCGTCTTGCGGAGCCGGGGTGGCTGTCTTGCCCCTGCGACTGGCGTTACTAGCAAGAGAAGGTCTTGGCTCGGCGGCCTTAGAGGCGGCGGCTTCTTTCTCCTTCTCCTGCTTCTGACGCTTGAAGTCGAGCTCGCACAACTCGAGGTGAACGATCTGCTTGATGGCCACGTGGCCAACGATGAACATTAGCTGGGAGAGCGCGATGGCGGCCTTCTGTTTCGGCTCGGCGGGTGGTTCCGACGGTAGGCGGTTGACGGTTTGCGTAGGCTCGTTGAGACCCATGGTGAAGCCCTGCGTCATTCCTCCCTGGTTCACAGTTGCGGTCACGGTTGGATCGAAATCCCGCGACCCTGGACGCGATGCGGAAGGGCTCTTTTGCTGTGCGGCGAACACAGTCTTGGTCCTGCGTCGAATGATCTCGGTACATAGCGTATCTGGGTGCTTAGCTAGGACGTAGATGGCGTTGATAGCCTGCTCGGCCACGCCAAACCACTCCTTGCTGTCACTCGGCACCTCGGTAATTGCAGCCAGCTTCGCAAGGACGGCATGCTCGTTCGGAAGACGGCTGAACTTGATAGGCGACTCCTTGGCTTGCCGGCCGGTAGGATTGAGTCTTCGCAGAGCAATGCACGTGAACTTGGCTAGTTGGAGGTCATTTCTACCGTGAGATCCCAGCCCTGTCCGTAGCATCGTCTCCATCTCACCAACGACAATCTCAGGGTTGGCAGTGGCAAGCATCCCTAGTACAATGATCGCACCTCTTCGTTGGGATCGAGAGATTTCTCTCTTCTGGAAGCCATATACCTCCCATAGCTTCTGAATGACTCGATCCGAGATCATCCCACCCTTCATCATAGTCGCAAGGAGTTGCTCTAAACTCGTCAACTCTGCGGGCGTCGTACCCGACGTGAGACTGATCATATTTCTCGCAATGTAGATGGCAGCATCGTTCGGGCTGAAGCTATCAGGGGCTTCGAAGAATAATCGCCTGTAGCAGTCAATGAGATGAGATTGCACGCCCTTGCCCTCGTCGCTGTTGCCCTTGGTCCAGATGAGGCGCATCATACGTCGAATTCCCACCATGTTGTCTTCTACGTTGTACGCATTGCCTATTTCTAGGTAGTCCATGGCCTCAATGACTTCGGACTTGTTCTTGGAGCCGAGCAGCTGGCACACGGTGCTCGTGGCCGCGCTCAGCACGTCGATGAATTTGAGGGCGTCAGTGTAGTATCGCTTGGTCAGAGTGAGTTTCTCGATGGCTTCTGACGTGGCGGCATCTTCCTGGGCTTTTTGGACCACTGCTATCTTCTCCTCTTCCGTCATCTCGTGGGGCTTCTGGGGCGATTCGATCTGAGTGGGTTCGTCCACGAGCGCGGAGCTATTAGCTTTGTCTTCTCCCAGACCGGGCTCTCCCGCTGGCGGCTTCAAAGCATCCAACTCCGCATCGACCTTGTCAAGTCTTGCTTGCCAGTCCTTGCGAGACAATTGAGCTCCGTGTAGCACAGTAAAGGGGTGAGTTTTGATTAGAGTGCCCACGAGCTTTATCGCGTTTCTCCTGACGTGGCTGCTCTTGTCCTCGAGACTTCGGCAAGCCAGTTCGGCAACTTTCTGCCGGCGCTTGGGGAACTTCTGCTCCAATTCGCACAATCTCGTGTAGACTTGGATGGCTCTACATCTGCAGTAAGGGTTGATGTCGAGAAAACGTTCCTCTAAAACATCAAAGAAAGCATTCAGCTGGGATTTGTGGTTTTCGCTACGCTCTTCCTGGGTGCTGAGGTGAGCAACCATGTTGCCACAGACCTCGATTAGAGAGCTCCTTAGAGTATATGACTAGAATTTGCTTTAGGTTAGGTACTTAGATAGCGGATGAAAAGGAGTAGACAAACCTCGCTATCTAGCTGCTTGGCCAGTATCGTCATCTGTTTGATTACAAGACGGGGTACCAACTCGGACAGCTTGATAATAAAGGAAGAGACCGACTTGGGACCCTTGGTGTCGTTGCTGTTGAACTCCTTATTACTGATCTCTCGCAACACCTCGTCGGCCAACTGTGGATAGTCATATTGTTCTGCGAGAATGTGTAGGAACTCAGCCATCGGCTCCGATAAATGCTCAAAGTAGGTCAAATTCTGAACAATGGATATTTGTGCCGCTACTTTCATATTAGTACTTCCACCATGTCAAAATCTCCTTGGCTCTAGTCGCTCACCGTAGCCGTGTCCGTGGTGTTTTACAGCAATGCAGAGGACCTTGAAGCCGTGCATTTTTATGGCCGTGTTCTTGACTCTTTGTTCGCTCTCGAGAACCATGTAGACGGGCCTTGTGAGGAGACCGATGAAAGTATCGCGCTCGCTCGTGGTCAGGAAGATCTTGCCCAGCTTCAACTTAAGAACCTTGGACATGACGTCTAGTGCCGACTGTAGTTGAGTAGCACTATCCCAGCTGCCGTCTTTACTGGCAGCGGCGGCAGCCTTGGACTTGGCCCCTTTTCCTCTAGCGCGCGATACGGGAGCGGCAGAAGACTTCTCGGCGGCCTTGGTCTCAACACAAGCGATGGTCCACTGTAGCAGATAACCGTATATCTCGAGCAGAGACTTGTGGTGGGCAAGCATCTCCTGCTCGTCCGGGTTCTCGAGATCGTGATTTATAATGTCGGCTTCGGCTGCCAGGCCGCTCATGATCAGATCGAAGATCTTGCTGAGGGCGTGGGTAGGCAGGAATTGTGTATATCTGGATTGTAGGAAAAGCTTAGAAATTGGTTCTCCTCTCGTTTTCGAACTAGAAGACTGTGAAGATTGTGAAGAAGAAGAATCTTGATTTTGATCAGGGGACTTAAGGGAATTGGGTGCACACTTGAGAAGAAATTGCAGCGAGTCAAAGTATGAGCTGCGCATGATGGCATCGGGATTCTCGGCCACAGCATCGACTATGGGATTTAATACCGGGTTTAGGAGGGATATGTTGGATAGCGATTCGGGATCGGTCTCGCAGTCGACTAACGCGCCGTCGGCTTCTGGTGTGGAGATGCTGGCGGGATCGCTCATGTAATGCTTGAGCGCATCGTTGATATCGAAGCTGATGGGATCCATGGTGGCGGTGATGGTGGAGGTTGCGCGCCTAATCGCGCACAAATGATTTATTCAGAATTAATTAGAAAGAGGAAAAGAAATGAATGTCCCCATGGACAAAAGAGAAGAAGAAAACGTATTGCACTGGCAATAGGGGAGGGATGGAGAGGGTATCTTGAACGGTGTGGTATAAAATGATGTAAATGGGAAAAAAAGAATCAAGTA